TCGTGCACTCCGCTTTGCGGTCAGGAGATCCCTTTGATCTGCTCAGAAGTAACTGATGAGGTGAAAAACTAAGAATCCAGGCAGCAGTTTTTCTGGAGAGTTTAGAGGAGATGCAGGAAGATGAGAGACAGACAGGACAGGAAATAGTTTAATAAAAACAAGAAAACAAAACAAAGTGTTCAAAAGTAAAATGTAGGTAGATTTATCTCCACTACACGTTTTTACCTGTATAAAACAATAAGTTACACACATGTAATATTTATACATCTGATACAGTTCAGATCACCTTCAACACTCAGTCACACACCCAGGGCCGTTTCAAGGCATTTTGGGGGCCAAGGCAAAATGACCCCCCCACCCCCACCCCCACCCACCACACACACACACACACACACACACACACACACACTAAATATCAATCCTACTTTTTGGAAAATAATAAGCAGTTTGTGCATACAAGAGAATTAAAGAAAATTTAAGGTGAAGCGCTTGCATATACTGTGTTATTGTGTTTTTTTTCTGTATGTGTGTGTGTGTGTGGGGGGGGGGGGGCACCACGAAGCCTTTGTGCTTAGGGCACCAAAATAGCTAGCAACAGCCCTGCCTCTTTGAGACAAAAAGCTAAGAAACAGCTTATTTCTTAAGACTGAGTTTCTGTATTGACTTTTTTCATTGCCTTTAGTTGAGTTTTGTGCAACATCACAAACATCTGGGGAAGTTTCCTTTGAACAGTGTTGTCTTACAGATGTAGGCATGAGGAATGCATGTTTGAATGAAGTAGGAGTGAGATTTCTCCCGCTTCTTCACGTCTCAGCGCCAAAGCTAACTGCCTCCAGGAGCTCATCATCCATATGGATGAACACAAATCTTATGTTTCCATTTCTGATCTTTCACAAGACATGACCAGCCAGCTGACCGTACCGTTTGTTGACACGTGTCAGCGGAACGTAAAGTTGGCTCTGCATTTTAAATCCTGCTGCCGCTCCCAAATTCAAACCAAACAAGAGACACTGCAGTGTGTGTAAAAGCTGCATGACCTTCTCTCTGTTGTCTCAGTGGGAACTCGCTGTTCGAATGCGATGCAGGTTGATGAAGTTGACTTGGGAGTCAGGTGAAGGGAAGGCTCCGTGGATCTTCTTTCACTCCTGCAAGATCTGATGGAGGCTAGCGTCTGAGCTGCATTCAGTTTAAACGCATGAACATGTTTTCATCATGTTGGTTTGGATACTGAGACAGAGGACACACTGAAACACAATTTGGTTTCTGCATACACAAATATGATGCAACATCTCGTTTGAAACACTTATTGATTACATTCAAATAGGGAAATGCATAAGGGCTAAAGGTTTAGGGTTATCTGATCAGCTAGTTTGTTGACCTCAAACAAGAAAATGTTACATCAGTTTAATTGGTTGTGGCACTTCAAGAAGTTGACGTGTGGATTAGAAGATATGAGTGTTGATGAGCCACAGGCGGAGCTAGGATTTTTCCGAGAATGGGGTCACCAGGGGGCAACAGCGTTAGTCCAACATCCTTACTCAAGATTTCATGCTGGAAATTCCTATTTGGCACATTAGTGCCTCCAGTGTTTGAAATTGGATTGCATCAACCTTTTATCTGATCGTCGTGCAAAGGACAGATGAGTGACAGGACAAGGGCACTTCAAGGGGCCAGTCAGATTTAAGCAGGGGAGCCCCACCCCTACTATCGCCATTGTGATGGGTCCAAAGTCAGCTAAAATGAACATGTCTTAAAATTAATCTGAAAAAAGAATTGCATCCAGGGATTGGGTCCAAAAGGAATGACCATGCAGTGCAAACGTGCAGGTGTGGCTTGCATTTTGTACCTCCTCAGCCTTCATTAGTTTCTACAGGAGCAGTTCACTAAGTGTAACAAATCAGATGTTCATGATCTAAAACATGCAGGAAACCTGCTAGGAGCAGACTCCAGCACCAGGCATGTCCGCTCCACTTTTACCAAGTCCAACAGTGACCGGACCGGCACTCTGAAGTTGCAAGTGCGAAATTCTGGGAGTATGATGGGGGTCTGAGTGACATTCATTCACCATGTAAAGGGTCATTTAGCACATACTGGATCAAGACAGGCACGCCTTTCTAGTGTGCCTTTTTTTTTAAAAAAGTGCATTAACTCATTCACTGCCAGCCGTTTCCTGATCACTAAAGCCCTTCGCTGCCAGCGTTTCTCATCGTTTTTACTGTTTTTTTAAGAGTCACAGAACGTTGCGCGCTAGCATGATGTTGATGCCAAAACAACCAAAACAAAGAGGAGACTCACCTCTTACATCAGGAAGAAGCCGCGTGTATCGAGCGTTATCCGTTCTTTCATAATCCGTTGTCGAATTGTGATCGGCAGACGCTTTTCCGGTTCGCGCCTCACTTTTTTTACAGGAACGGCCCAAAACGATCTCCAAACACATGGATGTGTTGCTTCCTGATCATGTGATCTGTGACGTATGCGGATGAAGATCGGCTTCAGGGCTGAGATGTTTGTTCTCTCAGCGCGGGGGCTCGTTCCGATGCTCAAACAGTAAAAAAATTCAAATGAAGACTTTAGTCGTCAATGGCAGTGAATGAGTTAAAGTGGAAAGAGAAATAACTCCGATGTAACATAAAAACATTTGATCAGACATCTGATTACCAACGAAGATGTGTGCTTTGGTGCTTTCATACATTTATTAAGTACAACTGAAGTAAAACTGGTATTTAAAGCAAAGTGATACTCCACACCTTCAATAAAACCCAACCTACTTCCTCTCTAAAACATCCTTCCTTGTCTTTGTTAAACTAACCAAAGCATCAAACATCATTAGTTTGATCTAGATTGTTAGAGAATAAAACAAAGATCACTTTGAGGTTAGAATCTGACTGCACACCTGTGAGAAGTACGACCCATGGCCATGGGAATAACAACGTAATCATGCCAAATATTCCATAATTTTCTCCCTTTCTAAAGCAGGTCTCAGCAGAGCTTCCCAGTGGTTTAGTTCCTCTACCCACTGGTCACCAATTTCCTCATCAAGCTGCAGCTTTTAAAGATTTCTCGTTGTGACTTACAGACCCTCCTTCTCACCACGTTAAAGTAATCCAACCCCATCAGCGGTAAGGGTCAAGGGCACATTAGGGAGGACCGCTGGGATTAGGCAGAGCAACGAGCTCCTCACATCATGATGGAAATCAAGAACATCAGTCATTCAGATGATGATCCCATAATTAAATTGTGGAAAAGCGGAGAAATTCCTTGATTTATGGCACTTTTGTTCCTACACCTCATTGCTCTATGAAAGATGGACATTTTCTGTGGATGCACGTGTGGTCGCGGATGATTCTTCATGTGATTAGGTTTGAGTTATAGCCTGTGGTAACTGCAAATTTATTTATGGCTGACATGAAACGACGGCGCACCTGGCTGCAGCTTGCTGTAAATCTTTGACATGGATCGTCCTTGAGAATCGTGAACGATTTCCATAAAGGATCTCTAAAAGACACCAGACAACCTTCCACTAATGCATCTGAACGGGCTGTTATCTGTAGGCTCCCCAGTTCAAAGCTGTTTGAATATAATTATAAAAAAATGGATTGAATAACTTTTTTATTTAAGAAAATCAAAATGTCACTCTGGCTTCTGAAGTTGACTGTTGAAAATGTTTATTTTTCAACCTTTTATGCCTGGAAGTTTTATTCTCCAACAACAAAAATAGAGTTCACTCACCAAAGGTCAAATAATGGTTTTAGTCTAGTTTCAGGCTTTGGGGGTCCCTGTGGGGGGTGCATCAAGGGTATGAGGTACCAGGCCCTCTGATACGGGCTTTTAGGGTCCCTCTATGACCGGTGCCAGAGCTTGGTCTGCATTGTCGGCGATAAGTTGGACTCCACCAAGGCTGCCGTTTATCACCAATTCAGTAGTTTTTTTATGGACAGGATTTCTAGGAGCAGCCAAGGTGTTGAAGAGATCCCTTCTGGTGGCCTGAGGATCAGGTCTCTGCAGATGATGTGCTCCTGTTGGCTTCATCTCCAGCTTAAGTCATTTGTAAGTAGTCAGATTGTGGCGGTAATGTGGCGCAATTGTGTGCTTTTTACAAAAAATGATGTGATGGCGGCATAAAAGGGGTATGGGGGCGGTCTCCGCGGACTTTCGTTTATCTTGGACGAAACCTGCTTTTTATTACGATCGAAGCCACACCGCATTAGGTATTTTTTGACAAGCCACTCCTGAAGGTGTCTGTCACTTACAGTTCCTCGTGAACTGTCAACTGATCTGAGCTCCGGCTCTAATGGAGAAGCTCCCGGAGCTCTGCATCGCTCCAGTTTATCATCTCAGCTGTGTCTGTTGAAAAAGAGAAACTTTCTGCCAGTTTTTACTTTCATTTTTCATACTGTGGCTGAAGCTCGGCAGTAACTCCTCATGTGATCATGACACCATCCTATGTTGCACAAGGTGTAATGTGCATTCACAAGTGCAGCGTTGCAACAGTTTTACCACCATGCATGGCGACACAAATGCATCTTTCATACGACACCGTGATGGCAGTATTACGCTGATTTACCTGCATCTAAAAAAGGCTTATGCTTAGGCTGCCCTGTGATCCGACCCCGAACAAGCGGATGAAAATATATGTTTTGTGATTATTTCACTGTATCGTACCTTTAAAACTGCAAAATTACCTCAAAGACTTCTAAACACAAATATTACAGATAACATATTTTTAAATCTCTCCTAAACATCAACAGATACTAGCACTTCTTAACGTGTACGAATAAAGGGATATTGACTTTTTTGAGACTATATCACTTAAAATCGGATAAAATTAGCAACACTGGCACATTATTTATTCTAAACACAGATAAGTTTACATTTTCATAAAATGTTGGAAAAAACCTTTAGCTATTTTATGACTGCGTTAGCGTGCTGTCATAAAATAGCTAGCTCATAGCTTTCTACTCATTGGGATATGAAGCTAACTGAATTAAGCAAAACCAACATTCTCTGGGGAAATTATTTCATCTTTTATTTGTGATGTTTTTCATTCAATTTAAATAAAAAAAAAATTAAAAAAAAATATTGTGACAATGAATCCATTTGTGTGGTTAATGACACCAGACAGGGAACGGGTGACTTCTGTGATTTGCTTTAGAACTCAGTCACAAATGTTTTCAACAACCAGCACGAGTGCAGTCGGTGTGGATTTCCAACACGGTGTTCTTCTCTGAATCTAAAACACTTTGAAGTGTCCGAGCAGAGTCCCAGCCGGAGGTCGTGGTGTTTTTACCATCCTGCTCCCACCCATCAGATCTGCTCAGCCGTGTGCAGACACACTGCGGGGCTTTAGCGCTGCGGCTGTTGTCCTTTGACTGACCCGTAACCAGACTGGCCGTCACAGAGACTGAACAGCTCACGAGAGGAGAGCAGCTGTGGCCTCTGTGGCAGCACACAGTCCCAATGTGGACATGATGGTGTCACTGTAGGTGGTGTTTGTTGAGGCTGAAGATTTTGACAGAGTGGTCAGCGCTGGCACTGGCTAGCTGGACCCAGGAGCTCTCCTCTTTGAGTTTTCTCTCGATGCCGGTCTGTCCGTCCACCTCGTTGTTCCCTACGCCTGCCCGGCCAGCTCTGGGCCTCCAGCGGAGACGCTTGACGGCCAACGTGTGGCTCTGTCTGTGAGAGGATTCAGGATCAAGGAAAACAAACAGCTACAGCAGATCCACACTCTCAAGGAAACAGAGGCAAAATACACGGCAGACATCAGGCGAAAAGTCGGGAAAAGTCTGGAAGCTTCTAACCTAAAATCCCTCTAGGATTCTTTATTTTTAGTTTGAATTTCCAGACTGCAAACCAAAACTACTAGTTGATTTTTTGGTCTTACCTGCTGCAGCAGCACCACTGTTAGGGTGATAAGTTAAACATTACATACAGCATCACTGGAGGACGTTAAACTTTCAGGTGATGTGTTGAAAAGATACGAGCTGTCCGTTTCACCAGAGCGGACCCAGTCACCTCCTGCAGCAACGTCCTGCCCAGGGGTCCACCTGAACAGCAAGATCCGCCCACAGTCCAGGCCAACGGCCAGCAGGTGGCTGTGGAGAGGACCAGAAGACCCAAATAATAACTGTAGCAGACTTTTCCAGAGGCTTAAAAGAAACTTCTAGTCACGTTTGGTCAGTTTTAGACCATTCTTAGCATAACTAGATTTAATAGCGTTATAAATGTCGTGACTAATAAAACGAGACCGACATCACACCTAGAAGCTGCTGTGTCGTGCTTTGCTTGGAACATATTTCTAAAAATAATCCCTATTTGCCTTTTTATTTTTGTTTTCTGTCCCAGAAAAGTAGGCAGAGTGTAAAATTTGTGTGAATTTAGATTTTCAGCAAAGAGGGTTTAAAGTGTGAAGCAGCTGTTTCAAACATCTGTATAATCACTTCATAGGGTTCAGTTAACAGGAGGCAACTGGTTAGTGAGAGTAAAATTTTAAACTGTTTGTTTTAACCAAGGCCAAAGCTCTAAATACTACTTTCACAGATTAACACCATTATTTAGCGCGGAGCATGGCTAACCAACGCTGCTACATTAAGCACTAAAGCTGCTGGATTACAGTAAAAACCATGATGTTGATTATTTAGATTGAAATTAGCATCTCGATTATTGAAGACGGTCTTTCAATGGTAAATGGCCTGCATTTGATATAGCACCTTCTAGAGTCTTGGAACCCCCCAAGGCGCTTTACAACACAATCAGCCATTCACCCATTCACACACTGGTGGGGATGTGCTACGATGTAGCCACAGCTGCCGTCTTAACGTTGATAACACCTAACATTACCAGTGGCTTTAGGCATTGTTGTGGTTGCTGGTTTTGTGAGTGAGTGAGTGAGTGAGTGAGTGAGTGAGTGAGTGAGTGAGTTCAACAGAGAAAGGTTTATGGTTGGTCGGTTGATGGGTTAGGATTACGCTCGTCTACAAAGAATATTGATGTCAAAGTTCTACAGAAAGTAGCTAAGGGTCGTCAGAAATGTCGCTAGGTCGCTTGCTAGGTGCTTTTAGAAAGAAAAAAAAAGAGTCCGTTAGAAATGGTGACAAAGCCACTATGTTGGTGATGCTATGGGAGGTGAGCTTGATTTGTAACTCGGAGCGGCGTGAGAGTAAGCCATGAAGGAGGAGCAAAACTCAGATCAGTTTTGTTTTAATGATGGTTAAAAACCCAGATCGTAATTCAGATTAACATTCAGTTTAATCAGACATCTTTATTAAGTATCTAGACAGATCAGTAAAACGTTTACAACATAAAACAATAAGATTCTATAAATGTTGCCGTTTGTCTTCATTTTTATCTTTAGCTGCATGATCGTTGAATGTTCAATAGAAAAAGTCAATGATGAAAAACAACAAGTAACAAAAAAATCTTATTTTTGATTTCCAAAGCTGCTGAATCTACTCAATCAGAAGCTCCAGATGTTTCCTGCTGAAATGTAAGAATCAGTGCATCGGTTCTCCTAAAGGGTGTTCTTACCGTTTCTCTTTTATTTGATCAGGAGCTGTGAACGTGTTAAAATGTGCTAATTTACTGTAGTTCTAATTAAATCCTTTATATAAAACTTGGGTTGTAAAGCTGAACGCTTATTCAGTTGTTGTTCTGGATCAACACATTCACACGTGATTTGAAGTCAACTTATCGCGTCCCAGTCTAGTCAGCACCTGTTTAAGAAGAAAGGAGTTTGGTCCCGTGTGTTGCAACACACCATTAACTCAAGAGGTGTAAAACAAACTGATATTCTCAGATGTACCAGACAGCTTACAGAAAATAAACAAAAAGGGGAACTCGTCAGATAAAACACGTTAGTGAGCATCAACACAGGTGTAAATGTGAGCGAGTACCTGTCATCAGAGCAGAGTACGGGGCAGAACGCTACGGCTGTGGCAGAATCCCCCACGTCCAAAACCGAAGAGCACGGTTTGATCTCTGACCCCCCAGAGCTCTCTGGTCTCCATGGACCCCAAACTATCACCTTCAAAATCAGAAATACGTGACTTTACTAGAAGTACAGATGCTTTCCTCACTTTAATACCTCCAAAGAAACGTATTTAGGAGATTTTAGACATTTGCAACGACCTTCTTGTCCCGACTGGACGTCACAAAGTATTTGCTGTCGGGGCTCCAATCGCACGACCAGATGATGCGACTGTGCACGGCCGTGTCCTTCCCGGTGTGCGCCTGCAAGGAGAACCGGGGCTCTGGAGGGAAACAACCAGGAACAAAAAAGGATGTCAAAAATATTTTATTCAAGCACAACACCAGAGCAACAGAAGCCAAAGCCAAACGGCACATTCCATTCATCTCCCTTCTCAGCAGAAGATGAGCTAAACTCTGATTATTGATGTGTGTCATCAGCACGTCTGGATCTTTGCCTCGCCACTCTGCGGCCACATAACGCCTCTCCTGGGCAACAAATACACAACCCAACAAGACAGAGAACCTCGTTCAAGCCCTCTATTTCTGATTCGGTTTATGACCTGCTGCTGTTCATTTCCCCGGCCTACGTCCTTTCAGAGCCCAGATTGGTTTTCCCTGGAGAGCTTGTTTGTATGCTGCTGGCAGCTGCCTGTCTGTAGGGCTGCAGTACTCAGGCTCCACAATGACACACACTCTCAATCACACACACACACACATTGGGTGGTTTACAGTTCGGGACAAACATGTTGCACCTTCGTCCATTAGCAGGACTCTGAAGGGCATGATGGTGGTTTAGTCCACTCACACTGACATGAAAACAAGATCAGCAGACAAAGTAAATAGATAAGCAAATAACAAATGTAGGGGGGGGGGGGGGGGGCGCAGGTATAAATGACGTGAACCACCTGGGAGGGCAGAGCACGGCTGGGGAAGGCAGACGGGCTGAGACAAAACAGGCAGGCGGAAGATGTGTAAACAGAGTGAGTCGGTTTGTTTGATGTGCACCGACTTTGTTAAACCTCCCTCCCGTCTAGCCGCCCAGACTGTTTGCATTTCTCACAATCACCTTGAGTGATTTAGCAGCCAACCAAAGCGGACGGGAGTCCCGACCTTCCCCTCCCTTCCCTTTGGTGGAATAAATCAATAAATAAAACTCCCTCATCATCACACCCCCTCCTCCAGGCTGCTGCTGCAGGTGAACAGAAAAAGGTAAGACAGGTAGATCATTCTGTGTCCAGGACATGGGAATCCTCAGAGTAGAAGCAAAAAGGCAACTGGACTCTGGCTCTGGTGGTCCTGTTGTAGGAAGTAAAGTTAGCCGGAGGAGAGGGGAGCAGAAAATGGCAGGATTTGGAGTCTCACATATGCTAACGTTTAGCGTCTGATTGGCTAAAAGCAACATGACTCTTCCACTGCCTCCATTCCCTCCGCAAGGTGGATGTTTTATCTCCACAAATAACACAAGCCTGAAGAAGTTCTGCCATGTTGAGGGGTTGCTAATGTAGCGTCATGAAGGGACTGTTTTCCACCTAAAGGTCCTCTCTCCTCATGAAGAACTTATCTCCGTGAGATATTGCTCAAGGCCTTTGATGCCTCTGCATCTAAACTGTCTTAACTAGCTATTTGCCTCCCCCTACAGCTCAAGAGACGAAAGAAGGCTAAGAACTATTTTCTCTATTAAATAATAATTAAATAACTTTGTTAGTCCAAATAATCATGTAAAGCTCAATGTTAAATCAGTCTGTGAAATGAGAATATTAATTACTTGATATTATAATCCAATGATAGTATTTTAATAAGTAATATAACTATAAACTACACACTAGACTGATCACACGTAATTTTAAGATCACATGACGCATTCCTTTTTCTCTCCAATCAGAGCTTTCCTTTCTGACGCGTGGCATAATCTGTGCGGTGTTTATTATTTGATGTCACATTCTGATTCGACCATAAATACAAAACATCTGAATTATAAAACAAATTCCCACGTCACCCTTAACTCAGTTCAAACGTTCTGGAGTTGCGAGCCGGCCACTCGTAACTTTTTAACCACAAAGAACCTTGACCAGCTGGATTATAAAACCTGTTGCAAGCTACACCTGAAGCAACGCTCCTTCAGAGTAAAAGCTGAACTCACTGAACCTTCAGGGTCCCGCTGACGCTGTCAAACAACTGCCGCTTACCTGGAGGCAATCCCAAGACTAGTCTGTCATACCGTACGCTGTTTCACCGGCTCCGGTACCAAAGGGGGGTCCGACGACCTGGCATTCTGGATCTACCACGGAGGTCTCCGCAAGGGTATGTAGCGCGGCAAGATAGCGTCTGAATGTGGTTTTTGAAACTTCGACTGTAGTTAGAGCAAAAACATTTGCTCCCACACAGAACTAATGCTTCTCATTCCACATTACACCCTCCATTTTGCCTCATTCACACTTAGATCCATTCATCACATAGAGTGTTTAGTTAGTTAGCTTTATTTTAAATTGTTTAGAAATAAATCTTCTTAAACTTTTAAACTTGTCCCCCTCTCTTTTTGACTCTGGGTTATTACGAAGTGTTACCTAATCCCTGCAATAAAAAGTTCCGATCTTCTGTTTAAAGGTAGTATTCAAATATACATCAAATTAATTCCATATTTTCTATGGAATCTCACCTTTGATGGTTTCCTACGTAAGATGTAACTATTGAACCACTACATTAATGCTAATGGTTAGCATGTACTAGCGAGACATGCTCTGCTCTCTCCTGGGAGCTAAATCAACAACAGCTAATCCCGTCACGACCCATGGTTGGCGAGTTCATGAATGCTAACTTTACAGTGTGACGTAGGTCTGTGTGTCTTTTTCTGGCTCAACCATTTCCCAGTTTATTTTCTATTGGCAGCAAATGCAGGGAATAGAAGTAGAAGGCAAATTTTAACGTTCTAGACCCTATTTTAAGTATTAAACGTTTATCAGCTAACAATCTTTAAGTCTCTGCCATTGAACATCAAGACCACTCACCTGCTGTATAATAAATGAACAAAGGGCTGATTCTTGTCTGCAGGGCAAAAACATGATGCACCAAGCATGAAGCAAATTTTGGAGTTTTTCTTGTGTGGAAAGAAGAGACAGAACGTTATTTTGTTAAGCTACAAATGAGAAGGTTAGGGTTAGCCTAGCCCTACCCCATGGCGCTTATTGTGAAAGGTTTCCAAAGGAAGTTGTCTCATTTTGGTACAGATGGAAGTTTGAACTTGTTAAAGCCTTGTAAGAAGTAACAAATGTATTTATTTGGGTGCTTTTAGGCTTGGTATACTACCCTTCACTTTGACTGATCAATAAGATGTGAATTTCCATATAAATATGGAAATCCAGTCTGATTTTTCATTGAATGTTTAACCAGAAGATTTTAGAATTCTTTGTTTATTCAGGGATTGCAAGACGCTTCATATTAATTCAAGAAGAGAGTCAAGTTTATAAAGAGTAAGAAATTTATTTTCTAAACAATTAAAACATGACAACTAGGACACTTTATGTGATGAATGAATTTAAGTGGATAGAATGTGAGGTGTGATGATGTGTGAATGTGATGTCATCAGAACCCTCGTACCTGAAGAAACTGAGTTCTGAGTGGGAGTGAATTTGGTCTGCATTAAACTAACAAAGTTGGTTCTTATCAAAAACACATTAGATGCAATCTGTTGAGTCTATGTACCCTGATCGGAGACCCCCGTGGAAGATCCGGCATGTGTTGAGGTCCGGGGACCCCAGAGGTACCGAAGTTCGTAGAAGAAATCGCAGTGCCGACTAGACCAGTCATGAGATGTCTCCAGGTCACGACAGTTGTTATTTGCGTCTTAAGAATAACTCTTAAGGAGTCGAAGTTGGTTCAGCTTTATTCTGAAGGAACCATTTGCGGTCAGCTGTAGCGTGCAACAGGTTTTGACAGCTTATCAAAGATGCGATGGGAGCAGAGTTTCTCTCCGATGGCCAGTCAGAGATAGGCTCAACTTAATCACTCAGGGAGTGATGCTGTTTTAAATAATGGCCATATCTTGGTTTACTGATAAATCAGAACTTGCCCTGTAAAGGAGTATTGCCAACAAACTCAGATACACACCTCCCTCAGATGTGAAGATGCTGATTTTGTGGATAAGAAAATATCTATGTGCAGTGATGTTAATTTTAACTTGCGTCATTGAGATATGGTGGATGTTTCTTGTCCAGTCAGTGTGCTGATTAAATATATGAGTCATATATTTCATTTCATCCTCGTTAATCTTTCAATGTAATAATAATATTCATTTCACTTCGGTAACTTAAGCACAGATTATTCAAACATTAATATTAGTATTAATATAACATTTGTTCATTCAACCTTATTATTATTTAATGATTATTTAACTTATGAGTTGTAAAAGTTCTTCTTTCATGAGAGTGAGCAATCCTGCAGTCTTATCAAAAGAAGGCTTTGTTTGGGAACTAGAGGTGGGAAAAATGATCGATTCTAAGATGCATCGCGATTCAGCCGTGCATGATTCCGCATCGATGCAGCAACGTGACATAATGAGATTTTCTCACTATGTCTATGTCGGGGGTCGGCAACCCTCTGGAGCCGCATGCGGCTCTTCCATCCATCTGATGCGGCTCTCTGTGCTTGTAAAATAATGAATGGATATTTAAATAAAAAGCTTTATATTTTACTGCATTAATTTTACATCTGTATGCCAATTCTAAATGTAAAGATTGTCTGCGCAAACCTGAACAGGTCCAACCCGGTCTTACTGTGAGACCGGGTTGACACGTCATGCTTGTGCGTAATCATAGGCGCTTTCTGAGCTGAAGACGTGAGATTCTGGGACTCTCCTCAGCTCCTGGATGTGTCGCCACATTGGAGACAGGAACAAGCACTATTCAGCCAAAGTTTCATAATCAGGGAACATTTTCTAAGTGACAAGTCTCTCTGAGAGACCGGGTTTGGAAAACACTCGCTTCAGTTTGAGGAACCTTCCTGCATGCGCTCTGGTTCTGCGACGTGCTCCAAGCCCCTCTCCACATCTTCAGCTCGCTGTGCACCTTATGTACGCGCTGACTGTGAGCTGCGCTGAGCGGTGTCCATCTCAGATGTTCAGATGGGAATCTTTTCTTGAGTGATTTAGCTACATCTGTGCGAAATGACTAAAGTGTCAGTTCGTCTGCATGCGTCGGGGTAATTCTTTCTATTCTTTCTCCGTCAAAATAAACGGTGAAATACGGGAACTATCCTGTCAACACAAGCCCTGCTTTTAACTGTTCTGTTTTCTTGTGAAATTGTTGCAAAGAGATATAATTTAACTTGATTAACACCAGAGCCAGGCGCACTGCACCGTTATCTCCGTCGCTGTAAATGAGGGAAAAACAAAATGATCGGATCCTTTTCTGACCTTCCCCACCTACAAAGTTTAATTACAACAATCAAACGTGACAGAGCCTGAATTTGTATTCTGAACAGTCTAAACATGTTTTAAAAAGAAACGTATGACAAAAGTGGCACCTGCTCAGTAAAACCACCAACAGGGTGAAAAATATCTAAATATTGTCGGCAGAGACGGGCTACAGCTTCTGGATCCACTTTATATAAATTGTTTTATTGATTATCGTCTTATGAAAGATAACTTTGACGTACACGAGCGACCGGTACCGGCTGCTGTCACCTGTTGTGATTGGTTAAAGCAGCTCTCTGCTGTCTGAGGGTAGGCCCCGCCCACAACGCCGTGGCTGCTGCGGTGTTTTGTTTACTGTGGGAAACGGGTAATAATGGCTCATTGATGGGAACAGGTTGCCGACCCCTGGTCTATGTCTATGCGAGGACAATAAAGTTTTGAGGTTTTATAATTACTTCTGGGGGCAGAGTTGCAATGACATGCGCACTGCGTTGCCCTAGCGCCAATTTAAAACAGAAAAGGCGGACAGGGATACAGGGCCAACATTACCAGTAATCAAAGATGTACCCGTTACATTTAAATCGGATGTCTGGGCTAATTTCGGTTTTGGGATCCTGGATGTGAAAGAATCACTTAACACAGTATTTGTTTACTCTTTTTAAGTTCAGTACTATTCTATCTTAAAGCTGCTCTACCGAAAACATTATTTCTTATATTATTTAAGTCATTATAGGCAGCACACTTTAAAAAGTATTGCTCACTATAGTGAATAGATGAATGTTCTGTTTTTCAGGGATTTCGAAATCAAAAAGAAATTGAAAACTATTCTACTGCTTTTATTAAGTAATGAACATTTTTGTGTGAAGAATCGTGATGCATTTCAGACTCAAATCGAATCGTTAGGCAGATAATCGGAATCGGATCGAATCGTGAGGCAGGTAGAGATGCACACCACTATTGGGAACATAAGCTGACATCTTGTTCCCCCTGAAATGTCAACAAGGGCTGCAGAATCTTCTGGGCTTTACAAGACAGGATTGAAACCCCACTCAGGTGGGGCCTTTGACTCCTCCCCTCTCCTGGAACTTCTTTTGATGATATAGATCTTCGTCCCCCCTCCCCCTGCCACACCTGGTGTGAGGGGTTGTGCCATGGTCTGCCTGAGTGTTCGTGGCAACCGGGTCTGGGGGTTTAAGATTTTGGCATCTGCCTGATAGATCCCGGTGGCTGCCTGGTGGGGTCTGGGTCCCTGGGCTCTGCTGGGTCCCCGGCGGGGGTGGTCGCCCCTGGGTCCCGGGTCGCTGGGTCCTGGGCTCGGCCGGCTAGGGGGTGGGAGGCTGCGGGCGGGCCTGTTGGCTTGCCGCCGATGTCTCCCGGGACTCTGCCGGCTGCTGGTTGTGGCCCCCCGGGGCGATCCTCTGCGCCTCTCGAGGGGGCCGGGGCCTTTCTGGTTGCAGTCTCCTTGGGGTTCCTGTGTTCTGGGGCAGCGCCTGGATCTCTGGGACTTGGAGCTCCCCCCGTCTCCTACACATCTTTGGGGGGCGGATCTGTGGTCCCTCACACTCTCTGTTGGACGCTCCTATAGAGAAACCTTACATAAACAAGCGCGTGTACACACACAGGTGCTCACATGGTGCTCTCATAAGTATGGACTTGGGCACGTTCAACACATGTCTTAAGACTACGGTGGGCACTTAATGCACTGTGATTTATTATCGTGATTCTTCAGTTAAGCAATGTTGATTATATATTTCTTCATCAAGTTGACGCAGTGATAGCTTGATCTTGTTGTCTTGTAGTTGTGTCCCTTTTTTTGTCCTTTTGCTTTTTTTTTTTTGCTTTTTTCTGCAGGTCTAGAAGCAGACTCTTGTTCATTGTTTATTTTTGTGGACCAACCCCCCCCCCCCCCCCCCCCCCTCTCTCTCCCCACCTTTTCTTTTCCTTTCTCTTTCACCTCTGTCTCCGTGTCTGGTCGGAATTACAAAGCATTCAACAACAGTAACAATAAAGTTTTAAGTATCAGGCGTGACACTAAAAGCAAACGCTTTGATGCTCCACCTGAGAGTAAATCTGTAAGACTTGTTACCAGCATTCACACATCAATTCTGCTTGCTTCACAGCCAGACAGGACACGGTGAAAAAAAAAAAAAAAAAACACTCAGATAGTGGAATTAGGTCTGTAAGTGACCAGACCTTGTGTAGGTCAATATGTAGGTGTAAACTGACCATTTCTGGACGTTACAGCCTCGTATCGTAGTAGTTTTACGTGCATAGGTTACCTCTGCTTACAGAAGCAGACAAAATAATGAGTAAGCAAACAAAACTGATAAAACTTTAACAAACACAGACACTAAAGTTGGTCAAATTTGAAAAAGTTGTAACACAACTTATTAGATCCATGCTTCCCTCATCACATTTGACCACTAGAGAGCCTATCATAAATAACTTCCCCTCACAACTTTTCAGTATGCTTAAATAATTCACAACATAGTCCATCTCTGTTGTTCCAAGACAAATACAAATACATACAAATACATAGTATTACATGTAGACAACAATTGTGTAAAGAATGTGTGTCGATTGTTTAAAGAGCCACTGCAGCTTCTATAGTGGTTACATATTTACATAAAACATCCCCTATATCAACAGCACTGATTGATGCCTTTTCACAACTAACCAGGAAATGAACCAGCGTCTGAAATGCCATCTTCATGATCAGATACCTATGATACATCTGCCACTCAGGAGGGGTTATCATACCAAACATCACAAGTTTTGTCACCTTGAGAGGTATTGACAAGTGAAACTAAGTTCTGGCGTATTGACTAACAGATTGGGTCTCCTTAAATGCTGAGAAACCACTGGTACTCTATCACCACTGTACTCTTGCACCTTTTGGAAAGTAAATTCAAATTTTCAAATAGAACTGTCACCAGATATGGTTTGAAGAGCAATTTGATTTAATAAATTAAAATCTAACTTTGGACAATGTTACCCTGGTATCTATTGAATTCCTAATCTGACTGAATTATTTCTTAGAACTGTGAAGCAGAGATTCTGCAGAGTTCACGTTCCTGAATCTCTACAGGAATCCAGTTTTAATTAGCAGCATGCTTTAACTTTAAATGCATTTTTATAAATAGCCACTCCTTTCTGAGCTGCTTATTGGACACATTTCTATCAATGCGTCATTTTCTTCAGAGTACGAACATGTGGAGTCCATCCAATAAACCAGCATGACTCTGAATTCAAATTGGCACAAGTGTGCTCTGAGGGTTTTCCTCATTTTAATTAATTTGTGTTGAGAAAGCAATCGGCTGCCAAAAGATCCCCCAGTGTTGTGTTTTTGTTGAAAAATAGTCAAACTGATTTTTAATTAACATCTATGAGCTGCACAGCGTTTGAGTGTTGCCACCTTTTGTTGTTCGTCTCGTCTAAACGGTGATAGAACTGTTCTGATGTTCTGAGTGGAGACCTTGATGGAGTTGAAACCAAAAATGTAAATATATTTCTTTTAAATCAAACTAATTATGGTAAAAAAAAAAAACAAAAAAAAAAACAAAGATGTACCCATGACAGAGAATAACGTTTTAAATGTAGAATGCTAAGCTGTATGGTTGACTTCGGCTAGGGCTGGGCGATATGGCCTAAAATCAATATCACGATATATTGAGGATTTCACCTCGATAACGTATGCGCAGAAACTAAAGTTATCCACTAGATGGGTCTGTCACATGTATTATGTTGAGTCACAATTTTACGTGACTCGAGGTGGTACAGCTTCTTAAAGGGACATGGACGTTGCCAACCTACACACATCTTTTCATTATCTGAATATGAAATTTATTGAATGGGAAAAATTATCTTGGTAAGAGTCAGAATTTTCAATTACGATACATTTTCGATTTACTGCCCAGCCCTAACGTCGGCCGATCGGTACTAATCGCCATTCTCAAGGTGGAATGACCAAAATTACTGTCGGCACTTCCTGAAATTTGTATTTAAACACATTATTCTTTCTTATTCATTAAACATGTGTGACGTTTTCTGAGAAAATTTGTTGTAACCTTTTCTCACCTGAACTTTCTGATGTTGGCGGGTTCCTTCTCCATAATGACCAGGTGCGATCTCGAGAAACAGCCAATAGGAGCTGTGCGTCAGGTGAGAAGGCCATCTGAGTGACTGTGAGCGTGTGATACTGCAACCTCTGCAGCTGACGCCATGTGGTTGTACTCCACAGCAGCACTGCGGCATGCTCGGCCTTAGACGCCTTCAATGACAACGTAGATGGTCATAATTACCACTTAAAATGTTATCATTTTGCTTTCTTGTGTGTGCCATCTGTACTGCATTTTAATTTCCCCTTTTCTTTTGTTTAAAACCACATTTAAAAGGAAATTTGTGTAATTTTAATTACGCAGATTGGTTCTTGTACCACTGACCTTACATGCCGATGCGACCAACGTCCTGGTGCTATCAGACGCAAGGCAGAACATTTCAAAGCCATGACCATACCTGGAGAGGAAGAAAGGGAATTTTTCACAAACTAATCTTGAAAAGCACCAGAAGATATGAGGATACCCATGCAATCTATACAGCAAACAGGTGAGGGGAGAAAATGTTGTCGATTAGGTTAATGTTGTCGAATCTATAAAACGTCAGAATGTACAAAGTGTAAGCTATCGTCCAATCAGTTAGAACTCAAGAGTGTGATTATGAATGATAATATATGACAAATTTGATTAACGGAGGGGCGCGCAAAATGTAAATTGCATCCTAGGACTGTCTTCACAGAAAATAATTGAGAAGCACTGGAATACGGTCAGTTAGATATGACGGTCATCGAGCAACGATTAACTATGAGATCAACTGATTTGAAATTTTTCCAAACATAGTTAATTACCATTTGGAAGACTAATCGGTTTGTGACAGTCTTTTTTGTTCTGCAAACGGTGATGGACAACGATGATGCAGCAGCCAAAGTCTTCCATTAACTAAACTTTTGGAAAATAAAACCTCTGTTACCAGGAAGCTTTTAAACATTGTAGCAATTTGGCTCCACTGGCAAGAGAATTATTTATGCCATGAATTTTATTTGGTCACTTACTCATTTTAATGCATCTATTATGCTCTAAATGATACAAGAGGTGAAGCCAAGTGGAAGCAGAAAAACGCTTTCAACACACACATTGTCCAAGACTGAAACGAAAGGCCGCGTCATACGTCATGCTTATGGCAGATTGACTGGTAAATGAATTTAGCATTGACAACAAATGGAGGCAATATATTCACCCCAGAGAGGAGGCTCATGGGATGGTAGAAAGCTCGATTCCGATTGGCTGATGAAGAAGTGGGAAAATGACACAGAAGAGTGTTTGGGAATCCATCATTTTACAGAAACAGTACGGCCTTCAGGAAAAGCAAACACAAACAATTCCATCTGGAAACGTTTTATTACTTAAATTACAGAAAATGGCACCAAAGTTATTTATTTATAGAGTTGATTTAGTTAAATTTTCTTTTAAAAAGGTTCCTATTCATGTTGTCAGGATGACTTCTGCATTGTCCAAACAACCACCAACCAACAGGATCCACTCATTGGCGCCAGCTATTCGATGGAAATGGAAAAAATATATAAAAATAATAAACTTGTGGCATTTAATTTTGGATAAGATCTTGGCATGGAGTCCTTGTTTGTCCATATTAGTCACTTCCCCCTGCATCTTACACATAAATCAAGCTGCTTTTTGGGGATGTTGACAACCAGTGTTCCAGAAAAAGGCAATGATAATAAAGAAAGTGTTGGAGATTTTAATGTATTACTGTCTTAAATGTTCCTTTTTAAGTAATCATATGTTAATTTTATGATTGTGAAGTAAGCCACAGGGCTTTCTCCTCTTCTCTCTGACTGTGGAATGCGGCTGATAAGCCCTGATGTTTGTCTGGTATGCTGTGGGGTAGGGCTGCTCGATTATGGCAAAAATAATGATCACAATTATGGTGACTGAAATTGAGATCTCGATTATTTAGGACAATTTTTCAAATTATGTTGATTTTATTTGTTTTCATTCAGTCATAAAATTGCTCAGGGCACAATCAGGACAAAAATAAATAAGAAACAAGATGATCACTAAAATAACTGATTCCCAGTATAAAAAGACCAATAACCAACAACCAGCTCATAGTTTATGACCCAAGGGCTATAGTCCTTGGTTTAACTGATTTAAGTCTAACCAGTACAGACCCAAATACCAATATCTTGCAAATACTGACAGCATGAATTATACAGTGGCATTTATAACAAATAAATGCAAATAAATTGATGTTCACAAAATGTTGCATAACATTTATTGAGTCGTGTCAAGGTGCTGTAGGAGCGTGCACTAGCACCGTGTCCTCAGAGAGATTAGTTATTATTTATCAGCGTGAGAATCTTATTTCTACCTTATTTATAAACTATTTATTTACAAGTCCATCAGTTAATGTAATAATTTTCCCAACCACAGCTGCACCCCCACCCCCCAACCCGGTCTCACAGCAATCGGGCAAGCTGCACGTGTGTTTAGCGCGCCGCACGCACACATTTAGCCGTTTTTAGTGGCTCAGGAGTCCGCAGGTACGGTGTGTGTCACTCACTCTGGTTACTCCAACAGGGAGCCGGCTCCGAGAGCCGTTTCTTTAGCGACTGACACATCACTACATCATTCCCTTTCCTAATGTCCTGAAGAACGGTCCGGAGCGCAGGCGGACTGTTTTGGTAACCTGCAGGAAATGTCAACGACAGTTATCCAGAAAGTAGCTAAGGGTTACCAGAGATGTTTCTGAGGTGTTCGCTAGGTACTTTTAAGATTTAAAAAGTCAAGAAGGGGGTCTGAAAAGCTGTTAGAAATAGCGTCAAAGTCACTAAGTTGGCAACACTGTGGGAGGAGCGCTTCATTTGCAACTCGGGGCAGCGCAAGTGGGAGGAGCAAATAATCGGCTTGTTTTGTTTTTATAATCGTTCAAAACTCAGATCGTAATCGTGATTAAAATTCGATTAACTGAGCAGTCCCTACTGTGGGGGTTGGTGAAATAGCCTGTCTGGCAACAGGTGTAATGTCCAACAATGGTCAGGTTTTAGGTACTGTTTGACCATTCAACATCTGGTCAAAATGGAGAAACGAGACTACATGTTTTCCCTTTAAATCGGCCTGCCTTAATATAATGAAATGTTTTAATTAATCTGTGCTTGAGTGACTGAAGTTTGAAATTAATGTTATGTTGTGTCAATGATTGATTCAAATTCAAGTTCAAAAATACTTTATTAATCCCAGAGGGAAATTGATTGCTGTAGTAGCTCAGAATAATAATAATAATAATCAAGTCATCAAAGAGTTGTTGTATATTACAATGGCTGTTGGCAGGAAGGATCTCCAGTAGCGGTCAGTGTTGCAGCCAAACTGAAGAAGCCTCTGACTGAAGACACTCTTCCGTTGTCGGACAGTCTTGTGAAGAGAATGCTCAGGGTTGTCCATCATTTTCTTGATTCTCTGGAGAATCCTTCTTTGCATTATCTCCTCCAGCGGTTCCGAAACTGCCGAAACTCTGGCTGAGTCATTGAAAGGGCTTGGAGTTCCTCCATCTTGTTGGCCAGTGATCTCACATTGTCCATTATGATCGATGGAAGAGATGGTTTGAATTTCCTCTTTCTCTGTCTCCGTTTTGCTCCCGCTCTGCACCCACGCTTCTTGTGTTTTAGCTCATTTGGGATTTGTGGCTTCAGTTGAGGTATTATTTCAGCCTTTCCAATGTTAATCAGCTGCTCCCGATTGTAAACCAGCTTGTTGCCATGGTTACACATCATAACAAATGCTCAAAAAGTGCAAAAGGCTAAAAAATAGCAGTAAAAATCCTCCAAGCTTCACAGCACCAGAAACAGAAAAGTAAAGTGTCCAAAAAATAGTTTTGTACAAGGACATGTTTCAGCATGTTGATTTGACAAGGTCATCACCATTTGCACTCACACAAGCACAAAGTAAAGTTAAGTCAAACGCGTGACACATAGATAGTCCTTTACCCCAGATCAGAGCATCGGTATCAATGAAGGCGTGTTTCTGAGGTTGTCTTGGTAACCATTCCTCAACGTGCCAACCTCTGGTTGGCTACACAAATCATAACATGAGAACATTAAAACTGGATCACTCTGGTGATTCAGCAGTTCAGTTCAGCTCAGCAGTTCAGCTCAGTTCTTGAGAAAGCTTCAGACCGGCCATCTGAAGCAAAACCTCTCTAACCCATCTTTTTTGCACCTGCGAAGCTGATACAGCAAACGGTTCCTGCAGAACAAGCTGATATTGTTCCGACTCCTTAGAGTCCCAAACGTGCGGTTCCATCCATCTGTCATGACCCGAGACATCTCTGGACTGACGAGTCGGTACTACGGCGTCTACAGCCCTCGGTGCCAGAGGTCATCCGAACTCTCTGACCTTCGGATCCACAAAGAGGGTCTCAGAGAATGGGTGAAGTAGGCACACAGATAGCGTCTGATGCCTTTTGATAATAATCAACTTCATAGCTTAACGCAAACCATATTCTTTACACCCAGAACCCAGCTCTCCTAGATATGGAAGTTCTGATAACTCCGCATTCACATATAGGCACCATACACTACACCTGCTCCATCTAGATCCATCCATTCACAGTAAATATGAGTTAACCTGTCATATTTTAATTGTTTAAAAAATAAATTCTTACTTTTATAAACCTGACTGTTTTCTGAATCATAAAAAAGTGTTTACAATCCCTTAATAAAACAAAGAATCCTAGAATCTTATGATTAAACAGTAAAGACCAAGCAGGTTGATATTCTATATTTATATTGAGTATCACAGCTCATTGGTCATAAGTAGAGGTAATATATATTGAGCTCTTAAAGCACTCAATTTACCAAACCCTACACAGGTATCCATGGTTACTGAGTTTCTGGCTGTCAATTATAAATTAAGACTTCCTTTCTGGAATGCTCTGGTTGGCAACAGAAAAGCTAGCAGTCACCCCTGTAACTTGAGACTTCCTTTTTAGAAGGTCCCGCCTTAGATAGAAGCAACAGTGTTATTGGTTAAGTGTGGACAGTGGTGGGTTGTTCTTTGTCCTTGGGTGCCTGTATTTCAATAAATCCAGCTGGAGAGCGAGAACACGCCAGAGTTAATCAGACATGGACCTTTGCAGGCTTTTGGCCAGTTCGCTGCCTCTTCACAGCATAAAAAAACCTACTGACTTCTCTCATGTGTGGTTCATTCTAGGATTTAAAAATACCCAACAGAAAGCCATAATTTACATAAATGTTTAAAAAAAGATGATCTATTTTCAGGTTTATCTGAACTACATACATAGCAGAGTTATTTGCACCACATGCTTTAAGGGTCAACTGATTGATGACCATGCAATATTATCTCTGGTGGGCCTTTGATCTTCTATGCATTCTATCTAAAATAAGTGAAGAAAACCACTGTATGATAGGGTCAAGGTTTCTGCTGACAGTGTTGGGGATTAATAGTTTGTAATAGAATCACATCCTTTGTAAGATCAGCTGTTATTCAGAGAACATTGACCTCATTAATCAAAACATAAAACGAACTAATCATCACATTATCTCCATCTGAACTCAGAGAGAATGTGAAAAATAATTCATCTTAATCTGCTTTGGTCAGGAGCATTGCTGCTTTCAAGTGATGGAGGATGGCAGCTTTCCAGTGAAGGAATCATTGATTAACAATAACAGGGCGAGGAAATCACCCAACCTTCTTTATGTGAGTCACAACGATTAGTGCAGTAAACATCAGCTGTAATGGAACTGGAATGATAAATAAGATTTAAGGAATTGAGAATAGGGCTGCAACAACGAATCGATAAATTCGATGAAAATCGATTACTAAAAGCGTTGGCAACAAATTGCGTCATCGATTCGTTGTGTCGCACAACTCTTCCAAAAGCGTCCCCCCTTCCCGCCCGCCGTTGCTCGCAGACAGATCAGCGCGAGGGAGAGCCGGCAGATCATCGCGAGGGAGAGCCAGCAGGTGTTTGGAAGAGGAACATGGCAGAAGCAGCGAGAGTCAAAAAAGTAAAAGCTTTTTAAGTTTGGGAGCATTTTCAGTTAAATCAGGCGAAGACATTCGTTACCTGCAACGTTTAGGTCAGACCTAGCATGGCACGGGATGATGCAGCGTCTTAAACGCAAGTATGTCGGGATCATCAGCGAGGAAGAAGAGAACTCTGTGTCCGGGTAAATTAAAAACTTTTCAAAAGTGATTCATCCAAGTCCCGGATTATTACACAGGCTAGACATGCCCTAAGCTCCTAAAAAAAAAGAGTCTAAAGTCGTGAGCGCGACGCTTATTAGATGAGCGGCGGGACTCGCGCTGCTGCGAACCGGTTCCGCCCAAGGCCGGATTAACTGGGCAATTGCCCAGGGCACGAGCAAAATACTGTATAATTTCCCGCTTTATGAGGACTATGGTGACCGTACGTTCCATTTTACCCGGACGTGTCCACTTTTCACTCTCTGTCCGGCGCGTCCGGACTGCGGGTTCTTGTATTGATGAAAATGTCCGGCTTTTCATCCAGGAGCAGGGATCGAATTATGGGGGAGCTGTATATCCTACACGTCCAGGGGAACCGGAAAAAAGTTTTCTATATTATATCATTTTTGGACTCTTTTGAGCAGAGAGCGGCACAGCGCGTTGTTGCGCAGCGATCCAGGCTGCTGCTTCCAGCGCACGGTCCATTCTCAAAGTGGCGCAACCAAAAAACTATAATTAGCACACGATCGTTCATGTCTGCACATGTTCTCTATATTCTGTCTTATTTGTGCCTGCAGCGCTCTGCTACTGCGGAGCTCATCACCTGTGCTGTGGTGATGTCACCTCACGCAGCATCGAAAACGCGCTCTGCGCTTTGCGGTCAGGAGATCCCTTTGATCTGCTCAGAAGTTACTGATGAGGTGAAAAAGTAAGAATCCAGGCAACAGATTTTCTGGAGAATTAAGAGGAGATGCAGGAAGATGAGAGACAGACAGGACAGGAAAATAGTTAAATAAAAACAAGAAAACAAAACAGTGTTGAAAAGTAAAATGTAGGTAGATTTATGTCCACTACACGTTTTTACCTATAAAACAATAAGTTACACACATGTAATATTTATAAATTTGATACTATTCAGGTCACCTTCAACACTCAGTCACACACCCAGGGCCGTTTCAAGACATTTTGGGGGCCAAGGCAAAATGCCCCCCCCCCCCCCCCCCCCCCCACACCACCACCACCACCACTAACTGGGCTCCCCAGAAGCCTCTGTGTAATTCATGCCCTCTCCAGTAGTGTTAGTTATTCAGTGTTTATAAAAGCCCCACAGGCATTACTGACATGTTCTAATATTATCAGATGAAAAACTAAATTATCAGACATGCTGTCTCATCTGCTTCTTTTCTAAACTTGCAGAAAGTAACAAAACCATTTGAAAGCCACTATTTGTGGATTCTCTGAAAGTTTCCATGGAGTGTGTGACAACTTATTTTTTCAGTCATTTTTGGAAATAGTGATCAATTTTGATTAATTCACAGCCTATGTTTAATTACATTTAAAAATTAGTTGTTTGACATCCCCAGTTATAATAAATGTCTACAGATGAGATCAAACAAAACAGATGAGAATTGCCCTTAAGCTGTTTAACTTGGACCAAGCATTTTAGGTCACAGATAGATGTAGCTTAGGGTCTCTGTCTATACACCTTATAAGACAATTTAGGTGATGGCATGTTGTTTTTCTGCTATTGAACTGTTTTCTAATAATGTTGTGTTAAATAAAGTGAAGGAAGGAGAGAAATAACGTTTCCCTAGCAGTTTTTAAAAATTTCCCCATGTAATCTGATTAATCGATTAATCGTGTCGAGACCCCATCCGATTCATCGATTATCCAAATAATCGTTTGTTGCAGCCCTAATTGAGAAAGTTAAAAGTTGAATCATCGCTGCATCAGATCATCATGAATTCACTCTAGGTGCCACACACTTGTGTTTATTATGCAAGACAACAAAGAACATTCAAATGCTGTATGATCAAAGTTCACCTTTACATCCAGGAATAAAGCGAAGCTCCACAGGTTTTCAGCTGGAGACAATTCTGAATTAGAGCCTTCCTCCACCGTTTTAAAACCAGTTTAAATAGTCAGAACTCTTAGGATAAATGACCGGCACTTGTATAGCGCCTCTCTGAGTAAGGACTCCAAAGCGCTTTACACTACAATGTATCATTCATCCATTCACACACACATTCACACGCTGAGGACATGAAGTAACAGACAAGGAACATGCTGGAGCACACTCCTCATTTAAGAGTTTTTAATCAGAAGTGCAGACTAACGTTTCTAAGAAGGTAATTACATTGAAATGTTAGTTTGCACCTCTGATTAAAACCTATTAATGGAGTAGTGTGCTCCAGCCTGTTCCTTGTCTTATACTCCTTTACGGAGGGTCAAGCATTTCTGCAACATCTGAGTGAATTGGTTCTTCTCAACCCAACAACTCACTCAATAAAAAAATCTATGAACAAAATACCAAAAACAAACACAGTCAAGATCAGGAAAACCGGTTTGTATAGTTTTGCAGCATTTGGTCCTGAAAACGAAGATATGAAGAGAACATTTCTGTCACATTAACCAAAGCTTGAAGACGTTTTGGGTAAAACTGACAAAAAGAAAATGATTGCTTCTGTTGATGAGGCTTTTTGCCCTGATTAAATGTGTTTTGGAGTAATAAATAATTACTATTTTACCTGTTATGGATAGCTTTTGATCATATCCACTATCAAAGTGTGTGTTGCTGTCATATTTACACATATTTTAAGTGTTTTCTGCCAGGGTTGACCCCTGGCTGCACCTCCAACAGGAGAACAGCATGCTACATTCACAACTTTTTAGCAGCTGACTTTAATAAAACAAATGTGATACTTACAGCTTCTGGACCTCAGGCCAAAGTGTGTTCTGGAGTAGATGATCCTCTGGCGGTGGCTCTGTACACACCCACACATCCATTGGGAAACACATTCAAAAAGAAAAGACTTAACTATACTTCTAAATCCATAGACAGGCGCTATGAAAACCGAGCTGCTCTGAAATTCAAATACAATCAGCTCCAAATGTATTAAACGAGGATTACACTCGAGTGTATATTGTAATTTTCCCTTTTTAAAATCCCTGTCCTGGTAACGAGTGACAGATAGGACACTGAATATCTGTGTGGATGTGAGCGGGGATCATTTAAAGGCAGAGGAAAGAACATAAGTACCCCAAAGAGAAAAAGACTGAATTAAAACTTATTAGACTGAGAACACACCGTTCACCACTAAACATTGATTCACATTCATATAGCTACTCCACGGAGCACACGGAAGCTCTAGGGTTCATATAATTATATATATTTAGCTTTATTGTTAGTTCTACACTGGTCTACAGGGGATCGGATCGAGTCAGAGTGCTCAAGAACGGCTCACCTTCGTATTAAATGCTGTAACTTCGGCCTGTACGTTGCTGCATCTTAGCATGAACTATTCATTCCTCTGCCTGCCAACAGAAGCCGGTCTCACAAGTGGAAAAAACGTGTTAACAACAGTCTGCACACTTACAAACACTGCCCATGGTTATCGATACTTAAACTCTGCAGCCACATAAGGCTGCATTCCAATTAGCATTGCAGATTAGGTCGTGGCTTCACTCACACTGATGACAGCCGCTGACGCGCTCTAGCCCAGAGGTTTTCTAAGCGGTGCTGCTGTTTACTTCTTTGATGTGTTTTATTCACTTGCACATACAATGATTTATTTCCTCTGCCTTTTAATGTTTCATAAATAATTTTCCCCTGTGACCCTTGCATGTCTGTCTAACTCGTCCATGCATCTAAAATATTCTCCATCTACAAAGGCGCGCTGTGGTAGTAAGTACTTTCATTTTAAGCCTCCCTCTGGCTGTGTTTTGTTGTCTTTTAAAAGTAGAGCCCCATAACAAGCAGACAGGACCTCTGAAATGTGTGCTGTGACTACTAAAGAATGGAAATAAGGTCACAAAATGGGATTTCTATTTCTAAACGACTTTTTGGCAAGTTAAACAACTTTTTGGGGAATAAATGATGTCTCAGCTTTACTATACCCGTCAGGATGAGCGGATGAAAGTACGACTCCTGGTATTGGTCAGATATGCTGTTAAATTGCTCCTCTTCTTTGTTGTTTTTTGGGACAAGGCCACCTGCAAAAATTATTATTGAACATTAAATAAAAAAGCACCAAAGTCCTCCCCCCGCCAAATTAACTATAATCTCTATTGGGCACAGCGGTTTCGAACCACTGTGCAGAGAGAAATAAATTTTGGAGAGAGAAGTGATTATCAAATAAAACATGGCCCCCGACTCGAGCAGTGAGGCAGTCAGAGGCAGGGCCAGGCTCATATTTTACCTTGAAATACAGCCTTGTTGGAAAGACCCAAGGCAGGTGTGCTGGCTCCTTCTGGAAGGCTGGCCGCATCCTGGCAGCGTCAGGAGAAGCAGACACATTCACAAATTAAACATCAGCTTTTAAACTAGACTCAGTGGTCCCATTAGGACTTCAAATAAAACAGAAGGTTTTCACAAAGTCCAGTCTTACGCTAGTTGTCAGCAGCTTTTCTTTGGAAGCCCCAGAGATGGTTGCAAAGTTTTCCACAAAGTTACGAGGAGCTTGAAACACTCTGAGGACCTTCTCATCAGCTCCTGACACAAACTGAAACCTCCCAACCATGGCCAGACACTGCATGTCATATCCGTGGATCTGCGGCCGGGAGATCTCATGCCAGGTGATCTAAAGAGGCGAAAGAAAAAGGGAGGAACAACATGAAGATGGTAATGTTCCCATTTGGTTGCCAGAGAAACCTCTTTAAAACAAATGTCAGTGTTAATCCTGGTTCTTTACCAAAAATAAGGGTCTGAATCTAAACAAATTGCATTATTGATTTTCCTTTTTTTGGACAAAAAGAGCATTTTTCCTCACCTTGAGGGTCTAAAAGATGAATAAAAACATTATGTGAGTGCAAATAAACCAATATTTAACTGATCTTAAAGGTGTGGCTGAAAGAAATAACATGTTTTAAATGATTATTTCTGATTGTAATTGGTCATTCTGAGTTCTTCATGCAGGTTGAACATGAAAATAAGACTCCTACACCTACCTCCTGCATTAAATTCTGATAGAAAATAGATGGTGAAAATCTAGGACAAAAAATCCGGACAGATCTACGTCACACTGTGGATTAGCTTTCATGGACTCACTAACCTAGACTCACGACAAGGAAGGCTGTTGTATTAATGTCTGGTTATCGGCAGCGGATGTCTCAGCTAGTTTAAGCTAACCGTTAGCATTAGCAACTCCACAACACTTAAAGAGACAAAACATCCATGTCAAGAGTCAGTGGTAGAGTCGCATTGCTGTTATCCAATCCGGGGCGAGATGGTCAAATATCAGCAAACGAGACTCCAAAACCTGCCGTCTGAAGCTCAGCTGTGATGTTGGTAACTTTTAGGTCTGAGAAATGGTGCATCAGTATATTTTATCCCCCTGAGAACGACTTACAAGGCATTCAATCGTACTAGAGACCAAAGAAAATGTATTGACTAAATGAATAGACCACACCTTTGACACATTAAAGTTGACTGACTTTACCTCTTTATTGTTCTGCTTCTTCCACGGAGTGAAGAGTCTGGTGGTTTGGTCTGAGCCCACGGTGAGGATGAATTCACCCTCGGGATCCCAGCTCAGGTCTTGGACAACATCAAAGTGACCCGATACCACAACTCCTGGCCTCCACTCTCCCTGGATACGAACAGCAATGACACTGACATCTAAACAACCAGTACTTCTGTGTTTGTACTGATCCTTGGATTTACAGCCAAAATGGAAGTTACTTAAACCCAGTCATACCTGAATCTACACTCTCGGTGTCTCCTACTAAACAAGTTCACATGAGAAGCAGAAAATCTACTTTAATCACATCACAGCTAAGCAGGTCAAGGACAAACCACTGAATCATACCGGCTTCTACATGGATGGTAAATTTTCATTGCCGTTCGCTTGTTAGTGTGACTGTTAGACAAGTGGGCTGTAGTAAAAGGATAGAACACAAGCAAAAGAAAAGAACTCGAGTGGCATCTTTGCCTTGAGCTTTGTGGATGTTTAGACACCTAGATTTTTATAGTCAAGTTGCCTTACACTGACATAAGAAAAGTGAAGTCTTATTTCTTGTAATTATTCTTCAACCAATTAACTTTAATAGAATCTTTGAGGCCTCCTTGAACCGTCACCTTATAGTGGTGGAGGAGTTTGAGTGCCCTAATGATCCTAGGAGCTATGTTGTCTGGGGCACTTTGTGCCCCTGGTAGGGTTTCCCATGACAAATTGGTCTTAGGTGAAGGGTGAGACAAAGAACGGTTCAGAGGATCTTTCATGGATGTACAATCAAAGAGTCTGAGTACCCGGCCCGGAGGGTTACCGGGGTCCCACCCTGGAGCCAGGCCTGGGGTTGAGGCCCGTGAGCGAGCGACTGGTGGCTGGGCTTTTGCCCATGGGGCCCGGCTGGGCCCAGCCCGAACCAGATACATGGGCTCATCCAACTGTGGACCAACCACCCGCAGGAGGAATATGAAGGGTCCGGTGCAATGTGGATCGGGTGGCAGACCAAGGCAGGAGCCTTGGCGGTCTGATCCCCGGACAAGAAAACAGGTTTTTGGGACATGGAACATCACCTCGCTGGCGGGGAAGGAGCAGGAGCTTGTGGCAGAGGTTGAGCGGTACTGGCTAGATATAGTCGGACTCACCTCGACACATAGCATTGGCTCTGGAATCCAAGTCCTTGAGAGGGGTTGGACACTCTCCTTTGCTGGAGTTGCTCCGGGTGAGAGGTGGAGGGCTGGGATTGGCTTTTTGTTAGCCCAAAGACTCTCTGCCTGTGTGTTGGGGTTTACCCCGGGGGACGAGAGGGTAGCTTCCCTGTGCCGTCGGGCAAGGGAACGGGTCCTGACTGTTGTTTGTGCTTATGGGGCCAAATATCAGTTCAGAGTACCCACCCTTTTTGGAGTCCCTGGGACGAGTGCTAGACAGTGCTCCATCAGGGGACTCCATTGTCCTGCTGGGGGACTTCAATGCTCACGTGGGCAATGACAGCATGACCTGGAGGGGTGTGATTGGGAGGAACGACCCGCCTGATCTGAGCTCAAGTGGTGTTTCGTTATTGGACTTCTGTGCAAGCCGCACTTTGGCCATAACGAACACCATGTTCGAACAAAAGGATGCCCATTGGTACACTTGGTACCAGGGCAGCCTAGGTCGCAGGTCAATGATAGACTTTGTAGTCGTATCATCTGACCTGCGGCCGTATGTTTTGGACACTCGAGTGAAGAGAGGAGCGGAGCTGTCAACTGATCATCACCTGGTGGTGAGTTGGATCAGATGGCAGGGGAAGATGCCGCGTAGACCTGGCAGACCCAAACGCATAGTGAGGGTCTGCTGGGAACGCCTGGCAGAAGAACCTGTTAAGACGGTCTTCAACCCCCACCTCCGGCAGAGCTTTGACCGCGTCCCGAGAGCAGTGGGGGACACTGACTCTGAGTGGGCCTTGTTCCACTCTGCGATTGTTGAGGCAGCTGTTGCTAGCTGTGGTCGCAAGGTGGTCGGTGCCAGTCGTGGTGGCAACCCCCGTACCCGCTGGTGGACACCAGAGGTTCGGGGAGCCGTCAGGCTGAAGAAGAAGGCCTACAGGGCGTGGCTGGTCTGTGGGTCTCCGGAGGCAGCAGACAGGTACCGGATAGCCAAGCGGGGTGCAGCAGTGGCAGTTGCCGAGGCAAAATCTCGGGCGTGGGAGGAGTTTGGTGAGGCCATGGAGAAAGACTATCGATCGGCTCCAAAGAGGTTCTGGCAAACTGTACGGCGCCACAGGAGAGGAAGGCAGCAACTCGCTCACACTGTTTACAGTGGGGATGGGGAGCTGCTGACGTCAACTGGGGCTATAGTGGGATGGTGGAAGGAATACTTTGAGGAGCTCCTCAATCCCACCTATGCGCATTCCGAGGAGGAGCCAGAGCCGGGAGACCTGGGGATGGACTGTGCAATCTTGGGGGCAGAAGTTGCTGAGGTAGTCAAACAACTACACAGTGGCGGAGCCCTGGGGGCGGATGAGGTTCGTCCTGGGTATCTCAAGGCTATGGATGTTGTAGGGCTGTCATGGTTGATACGTCTCTGCAACATTGCATGGTCATCGGGGGCAGTTCCTGTGGAGTGGCTGACTGGGGTGGTGATCCCCATCTTTAAGAAGGGTGACCTGAGGGTGTGTTCCAGGGGGGAATCACACTCCTCAGCCTCCCTGGAAAGGTCTACTCCAATGTACTGGAGGGGAGGGTCCGATCGATAGTTGAATCTCAGATTGAGGAGGAGCAATGTGGTTTTTGTCCTGGCCGTGGAACTGTGGACCAGCTCTATACCCTTGCAAGGGTGATGGGGGGGGGGGGGGGGGGGGGGGGGGGGGGGCATGGGAGTTTGCCCAACCAATCCAAATGTGTTTTGTGGATTTGGAGAAGGCTTATGACCGTGTCCCCAGGGGCACCCTGTGGGGGACGCTCCAGGAGTATGGGGTGGGTGGCTTTCTGTTAAGGGCCATTCAGTCCCTTTACCAGAGGAGCGTGAGTTTGGTCCGCATAGCCGGTAGTAAGTCGAACCTGTTCCCAGTGAGGGTTGGACTCCGCCAGGGCTGCCCTTTGTCACCGGTTCTGTTCATTACCTTTATGGACAGAATTTCTAGGCGCAGCCGTGGTGTGGAGTGTGTCGAGTTTGGTGGCAGGAGAATCTCGTCTCTGCTTTTTGCGGATGATGTGGTCCTCCTAGCTTCATCCAGCTCTGACCTTCAGCTCTTGCTGGGTAGGTTCACGGCAGAGTGTGAAGCGGCTGGGATGAGGATCAGCACCTCCAAATCTGAGACCATGGTTCTCGACCGGAAAAGGGTGGCTTGCCAACTCCGGGTCGGGGGAGAGGTCCTACCTCAAGTGGAGGAGTTTAAGTATCTCGGGGTCTTGTTCACAAGTGAGGGTAGGAGGAATCGGGAGATTGACAGGCAGATTGGTTCAGCATCTGCATTGATGTGGATGCTGAGCCGATCTGTCGTGGTGAAGAGGGGAGCTGAGCCAGAAAGCCAGGCTCTCGATTTACCGGTCGATCTACGTCCCAATCCTCACCTATGGTCATGAGCTTTGGGTAATGACGGAAAGAACGAGATCGCGGATACAAGCGGCCGAAATGAGTTTACTCCGTAGGGTGGCCGGGCTCAGCCTTAGAGATAGGGTGAGGAGCTCGAACATTCGGGAGGGACTCGGAGTAGAACCGCTGCTCCTCTGGATCGAAAGGAGTCAGTTGAGGTGGTTTGGGTATCTGGTCATGATGCCTCCTGGGGAGGTGTTTCGGGCATGTCCTGCCGGCAGGAGGCCACCGGGTCGACCCAGGACACGTTGGAGAGGTTACATCTCCAAACTGGTCGGGGAACGTCTTGGGTTCCTGCCGGAGGAGCTGGTGGAGGTGGCCGGGGAGAGGACGGTCTGGAGCTCCCTAGTTGGGATGCTGCCCCCGCGACCCGGACCCGGATAAGCGGAGGAAGACGACGACGACGAAAATCTTTGAGGCCTACAGCTTCCCCCAATCAAAAACCAAAACATGGGACCTTAACATTAAATCTTGTGATTTTTTTTTTTAAGATTTTATATTTGAAATTGTCTCGAAAGGATACTCAGTTTTTAGAATTCAAAAACATGTTTTAAAAGTGTGGAAATAAGGAAAATTGTGTTCCAACTAAAACATTGTAGACCATTATATCAAGTCGGAGCACATCACAGGAGATTTTAAAGCAACACTAACTCTTTCAGTTATTGCTTAAAAACCGGTTTCAGTGATTCTTAGGGCTGAAACTGGAGCAACGTCACATATTACAGCACTCTGGTGCCCTCTGCTGACCAGAAAGGGTACTAAACAGTTTTATAGTTCAGACAGGAACACTAGTGGGAGGTCTCTACCTACCTATTACCTCTACCCGGTAATAGTTGTTTACTGTGAGGGTTAATATAAAGGCAAGCAGTTAGCCTTTTTAGTTGGTCCACCGACAATAAAAACTTCAAGAAGAAGAAAAAGAAGACATTTGCTTTTTTGTTGGCATCATGGTGGAGCCTGTAACTAAAAGTGAGAGAACTATGTCTTTGGAGGTGAAGCAAACTGCTAAAACCAGAGTGAACATCGGTGTGGCCTTCACTAGTTTTAGGAAGCTAAAGGAGGCAACAAAATTAACTGATGGTGACCTGGCTTTGTTGCTACTAGACTTGTAGGAAATAATATTTTTTTGTCCAACAATGTGGATCTTTTCACTTCGTGGTTTATTTTAGTATTAGTTGAATCGTGTTAGTGTTAGCTTGTTGTTAGCGCTAGCTGCAGCACACTGCAACAAGGTTGTTTACGACAGTTGTAATTCAGCTTTCAACCAGTAGGAGGGAGATGCAGAACACTTATTTAGGAATACTTTAAAACCAAAACAAACATTTGGACATAAAAAAAACTTTAACGTGTGAATGTTATAACTGGGTAAAATAAGATTTTCTGACGAATATAAAAATGTTGATACTTCAGATGTAGTCGTGACTCTTACCTCGTTGTGATGATCTTTGCACCAGAGATGTAGCGCTCCCTGAAAAGCGTGGGCTACAATCATGGCGCCATCAGGACTCATCTGGCAGCCATAGAAGCCCAGAGTGTTCCCGCCCACCTCCCCTACACGCACCTGGTGTTGAAACATAGTCGGTCCTGATCAGAACCATTAACTCATTAACATTTCCAATGCATTTTCTAAAGCTATTACGACATCAGGTGGGTGAAGAACATTTGATTTCTAGGGCATAGACATAGAGACTATGACCCAGATGTACATCCAAAGAGCCACATATGGAGGACAGCGGCTAAATAAAGGAAGTTCTCTTTAAAAAAAACAGTTAAACATAGTTTAACACCTGATCTCATCCCAGAGGCCATAAAACAGCCCTGTAGGAGGCTCATTTACTTCCCAAGCACCTTGGTCTTGTGCAAAAACATAATTATGACATTAAAGGGAAACAAAAGAGGAAGGAGACCAGTAGGGCCATTCAAATTTGTTCACTAGCATACTTATAATGATGGACAGAATTGAGGGGGAAAAAATTAGAGAAAATATATATAACGCTGACAAATCAGATGACAAATTATCCAAAACTAGACTCATTTGAGTTGAATAAACTATTTTCTCTATTTTTTCTCCAAACAAAAACATGTTTGTCAAACAGAAAGTAATGAATCTAAGTGGATAGGATGTGATGTATGGTGATTGAATGGTGTGTGTTTATCAGAACCTTGTATCTAGAAGAACTGAGTTCTGGGTGTGAAAGAATTTGGTTAGCATTAAACTATGAAGTTGGTTCTTATCAAAACGGCATCAGACGCAATCATGTGTGTCTACCTGACCCTTTCTTTGGAGACCCTCTTCGTGGATCCGGAGGTCAGGAAGGTATGATGATCTCTGGGCACCGGGGTTCAGTAGATTAACCGCAGCACCGACGCTACAGTCCCGAGATGGCGCCAGACACACAGGTTGGAACTAGTTTGGGTCTAGAGCAGCTGTTTCTGAATAGCCAAAGGAACCGTTTTGCTGTGTCAGCTGTAGGCAGCTTTTAGCTTGTCGAAAGCTCGTCAAGAGAGGCAGTGGTTAGAGTTTTCCCCCCGGTGGCCAGTCCGGAGTTCTGCTCAAACTAACAGAATGCTGAATCACTCCGCAAGTGATTCTGTTTTAATATTCTCATATTATGATTTACTTGGCCAACCGGGACGTGCCATGTTAAGAGGTGTTAACAAACAAACCTCAGAACATCACGCCTTCTTTCAGATACAGGATGCTCTGATTTGTGGGTAAGAAAATATCTATGTGCAGTGACGTTAACTTTAATTTATATCTTATGAACATTGTGTGAGTGTAGATAATGATTCACTTGTTAAATCAAACATTACTGATCATAACATCTAAATGTTTCATTGTAATAATAAAATTCATTTAATTAGGCACAGATTATTCAAACATCAATATTAGTATTCATTTAACATTTGTTCATTGAACCATATTATTATTTAATGATTATTTAACTTATGAGTTGTAAAAGTTCTTCTTTTGTCCTGTGAAGCAAGCGGAGAGATAAGGCCGCAGCTCGGCAGAGAGGAACCTTGAGGAAGGAACATGATGTTGACAATCAGAGAGTGTAAACACGCAGTGGCAAATCTTTCCTGCAGCTTGGAAGATTAAGAGACGCAGAGAGGCAAATTCATGTCTGTGGATGACCGGTCACCGAAAAGGTCAAACTGTAGAAGAAAACTGACCATTCCTGGACGTTACACGTGTCACAATTACAACTCCATCTGAGATTTTGAGAAGCTTTTCAAAAGCTAAAAGGGGTGCATATATAAAACAGAAATACTAGCTGGAAATATTACATTGTATTTTAACACTTACAAAAACAAACTATTATAATAAAAGTTAGTAAACACAAAGAAGACAATGTACACTCAAAAAAAGAAAACACAGGACAGCTGTATTAAACAGCGTGTTGCTTGTTGGACTCAAAGCATGAAAAAAATCTATGAAAAAAAAAAGGATTTTTCTATTTGGGTCTTTGGGAAAAATATATATTTTATTAAGAAAAATAATATTCAGTTTGAAATTTGTAGTCTGTGAGGTCACGTGGTTAAATTCTCACTGCCTTTAGGACTTTAAATTAATAAAAATCCTTTTGGAACATAAAGCCTCATAGAAAAATTGACCCCAAAGTGAAGATGTATTCAGACCATCGCTGCAGTACACTTTGGATCCAGATAAAACAACACTAAATCTCTTTTATCGCAAATTAGCTTGTGTCTTAAATCATATGTGAAAGAAATACGAGAAGCCTCGCTTGATTGATATCAAGAGAAGAAAGCTTGTTGTTGATTGTCATCTGTTGGACGCAGAAAAGTGATGTCAATTCCCAAGGCTTGCCAGTGGTTGGTGGTGGTGACTAGGGATGAGCCGGATACTCGTTTCAGATGAGTATCCGGTACGGATAAAGCATTTTTGACGAGTACGAGCACGGAACGAGTAAAACTGGTAAATATCTGTAATCGTGCTGAAGGAAAATCCTCATTGGGTAACTGACAGTCTTCACTCTCGGTGATTGGCCAGTAAAATAGCGAGCCCGCCCCTCCCTACACACAAAACTGCAGCCGGGAGCTCTGCTCAGTCCGTGTCCGGTTCATCCACGCACACACAGACAGTAACGGATCTCTCTGTGCTTGCTTCACTGTTCACGTTTCTTCAGTACTTCCTATCTTTTCTTCAGTTTGCCTCTTTTTAAAGTTACTTTCAAGTTACTTTTGTCGTAACGTACGTGGTGCATTTGACAAGACAGAGCTGAAAACGGCTCGTGCTGCGTCAGTCACTGCTTCCGCTCCAGTCGGGTTTTTTTCCCCTCTCTCTCTGCTCTTCCTGAGGAGGATCCACTCCCTCTTTCCTATTCACTCTCTCTCTTTCTTTACATTTTTAATCACAATTGTCTATTTTTTGCTTATTTTAAATAGATTTGAATCATTTTCTAAATTATTTTTTCTATTTTACATGTTTTGTTTTTGTGAAGCGCCCTCTGATTTTTATCTTGAGAGGCGCTATAGAAAAGATATTTTCTTCTCTCTCTCTCTTAATTCATGCACTTAAATATTAATGTTCTGATTTTATTGAAAAACTTGTTCTGTAACAGTTCCTTTACTATTGTGATCAAAAACATTTCATCTCATCTCTGAGACTGCTCTGTAAATAGTTTTCAATTAAACAATACACATGGCAACTTAAAATAACGTATTGATGTAAACCACACCCACTTCCGGTTAAACTACACCCACTTCCGGGTTAGGCCACGCCCACTCCGAGTACAGATACAGATAATTTAGATGGTTGAACAGATACAGATACAGATAGTGGTGTACTCGCTCATCCCTACTGATTTCTAAAGGCTGACACAAGTAAGGTTTCACCTAGAAAGAATGAATATTCGCCTTGTTTTCAGGTTTTTAGGTGACACTCCCGGTCGTATCTAAAATAGCTGAGAAGTGGGTGGTTAAACTCCTCACTGCTCACCTAGAAAACACCCAACCCTCATTACATCCATTGCAGTTTGGCTTTCGGGCACATCATTCCACCGATACTGCCCTGTGTATGTTAGTGGAGAACGTGAAGAGCTTGCTGGACAAGAGTTGCTGTGTTGGAGCTGTATTTTTAGATCTGAAGAAGGCTTTCGACTCTGTAAACCATCAGATATTGTTGTCCAGATTGACTCAGTTTAATATCTCCAGTCAGGCGCTTCAGTGGTTTGCCTCATATCTCTCACACAGGAAACAGTGTGTGGTGTGGGATGGGGTTAAATCTCCATATTTAGACTGTGATACAGGAGTTCCTCAAGGATCTTTTCTTGGGCCTTTATTGTTCTCTCTTTTTATTAATAACTTACCTGAAGTCTGTCCAAATATATTTGCTCAAATGTATGCGGATGATGATTTTTCAAAACGCCCATTAAACTTGAAGCAGTCAAATACATTCCTGGATGGAGTAGAGCTTGATCTAGCACCAGAATTTAAATACCTTGGGGTCATTCTAGACCCTACATTATCCTTCAAGAGTCATATAATCAAAGTGTCCCAGGCACTTAAATTAATCGAAATTTTACTCATATACGTAATGATCTAAATATGAATGTTGCAAAAACTTATTTTTACTCAATGATCATGTCTCATATGGACTATTGTTTGACATCCTGGTCACTTGCTTGTCCAACAACACTTAAAACTATTGCAAACATTTAAAATAGAGAGGTTTAAAATTACTTGACAAAAAAACGACTTCCCACCACCATTGTCATGTGTTAAAAAACATAAATTACTGAACTTCAATAACTTAATGAAACTTAAAAGAGTCTGTTTAATATATAAAGTCTTACACTCCCTTGCTCCACCACCACTAAAGCAGTTCATTAGGCATAAAGAAAGCTCAAACAGGACTACACGAGCTACAATTCGAGGAGAAATGTTTATACCACATAGACAGACAGCTTTTGGGCAGAACGTCCTCTCAGTCAAGGGTGGCCATCTGTGGAACAGTCTTCCTCAACCCATTAGAGAATGCTCGACTTTCAATTTGTTTAAGGCAAAGGTTAAAAACTGGTTATGGACAAATCAAGTGTGTGATCATGTATGAGTTGTATAGTTTTAATGTTTTATTTGTGAATAGAATGGTGCGTATGTGTAAGTTTGGTGATGGAGTTTTTATTATGAATGACTGATGCATTTTTATGAATTATTATGTCTTTTTATGTCTAAGGACAACAGATGGAAATTAGCCTTTTGCTATAATCTGGCATGTTTGCAATCATGTAAGCTGCTTTTACATTTATGATCATTAACATGCACTGTCCTAAATAAATAAACTTATTGTCCACACACACACACACACACACACACACACACACACACACACACAACCCCTTACTTTCGGTGAAATGACGAACAGCACACACATGTCCTGGTACGACTTATGTGTCAACAACGTAGAAGTGGATTATGATTTAGTCATCGACTTTAGTTCTGATGGTGAGGACGAAAAGTCTGATCTACTGTCTACAACTAAAGAGATGGAGTCTGAGATGCCAGAACAAACATCTGTCTTTGATGCTGAGAAAGAGT